AAGACCTATCTTCCTGTTCCCTATTTGTGTGCAGCTTTAGTTATGAGGAGCACAGCAGTTTACCACCACAGTCATACAGGGCATCTCCACGGCCCCAGAAAGTTCGGTTATCGTCAATTTGGACGCAAGCCTTTCTCCCAGGCCTAGCTTTCTGCCTGGGGTCCCTGGATCTGCCTTCTCTGTTACAGTTGTATTTTTGGTCACATTACATGTACATGAAATAATACATTACAATTGCTTGATTCCTATTACTTTCTCTAGAATAATAATTTGGAGATTCACCTGTAGTGTGTGCATAGAAGTTCATTCCTTTCTTTGCTGACTAGTATTCCACTGTATGATACATTATTTGTCTGTTCACCCTTAGTGTATTTGGGTTCTTTCCAGTTCTTGGCTGTTACAAATAATGTCACTGTGAACATTTAGTGCAAGTCTTGATATGGCTGTGTCAATACCAAAGAGTGAAAACTGCTTTTAGATGTAATATTTTATTTCTCTGCTTTGGTAGGGAAGATTTTTAAAAGCCTCTATTAAACCAGAAGTTTTTTTTAAAAAAATAAATAAATAAAAAATAAACCAGAAGTTTAACATTTAGAACAAATAGCCATCTAGTCATCTTTTATTCCTTATCCCCTCCCTCCAAAAAGCTATTGATTACTTTTTCCCTTAACTGGACCTCTCCTAAAATAGTGTTTCTTACTTAAAACTTTCAACTTGCAAGACTGCGGCAGACTTCAGACAGGTGCATTGAGTCCTGGCTGTGATGCACCGTCATCGCCCGTGGTCTTTCTACCTTGTGCTCAGTCTTACTGCGTCAGAGCCTGCTTTCCCTTCTTTCTGTCCCACCCCTTTTCTCCTCAGGCTAGAACTTAATGCCATTTAAGTTACGGTGAACAGAAAAAGCTACAGTTCAAGGTCTGTGGTTCATGATGTCATGTTTAGAGATATGTACTTCAGCTGCATGACCTTGTTGATTTGACTGATTTAATGAATGCGTATGAAATGAGCTATATTTTCTGACTCAACCTAGATCTTATAATTGCCTTGGCAGGTATACAGTAAACATTAATTCAGGAGGTAAGCTCCTTCCTCCCTCCCTCCCTCCCTCCCTCTCTCTCTCTCTCTCTCTCTCTCTCTCTCTCTCTCTCTCTCTCTCTCACACACACACACACACACACACACACACTCACACAGCCATATACATGTCCTGTATTTCTTAAGTTTGGTATTTTACATTTAAAAGTGATTTAAATGTCAGGTTTGAACTGGTTAGAACTCATTTACAGTGTGAGTTATTCTGACTCTTTTATTAGTGTCATCTACAAGAAGCAGTTAGGGAATTGGGAGTTTAAATATAGATCAGTGGGAAAAATTGGAAAGCGAGTAGAGAAGTCTGGCAGTAGTAGTGATTCATAATTGATTATAGTATCTTTTCCAGGTGGTATATAGTGAGTGTGTGCTTCCTCATCTTTTTACTATTACAGTTTTGTTTCCAATCTTTTCTGTGTGTGTTACTGATCACTCATTAGCTTTTGCTATCTGGCACAACCAGAAATAAACTTGATGTGGATTTTGACAGGGAGATACTTGCTACTGCATTCTCAATGAAAGCAGGACAGTGTTCTGTTGGAAAAATTGGTCTCTAACAGCTGTGTAGTTTTGGAAAGGTTGCAGTAGAATAATAACAAGGCTCAGAGGAGTCATGTCTGGTCATCAGTGAGGTGGCACGTGTCGTTTGGCATTCATATCTGATGTTTTAAACCAGAGCCCTGAATAAATAAAGTTTAGATTGCATTTACATTGGGGTTTGAGTATGGCTGTAAGATGTGCAGTCTAGTGTTGTTAGGTATTCAGAATTCTTAGAATATGAGGTTCAAATATTTGTCTTTGAGGTTTTATTATGCAATAATTTGAGTTTATAGAAAGCTACAATGACATGAATAATTTCTATGTGCCACTTGCCTACTAATATTTTGCCTAATTTGTTGTCATTTCCTGTCAGATTTTTTTGAAACCATTAAAATTACATATGTTATGTCCCTTTGTTGTGGGATACTTTATTCAGCCTGTAGCTCCAAAGATCAAGGACATTCTCTTGCCTAAGTACATGACAGCGAGTTAAGGAAATCTGACATTGATAGTTAATTGTCTAATACACAGCCCACATTGATTTCACTAGCTTTCTGGTAATATTCATTATAATTTCTTTCCAGATAAGTATCCAACCTAGAATCTTTCGTTGCATTTAGTTGTCACATCTCTTTATTGTCCTTTATCCAGGAAAATTTCCCCAGTTTTTGTTGTTAATGATACTGACACTTTCAAGGACCATGGCAGACCATTTGTTTAAACAGTCTTTCACAATTTGGTTTCATCAGATGTGCCCATGACTAAGATTGGAAAGTGTAGTTCTGGAGGGAATGTTTATGACGTGTGCTTCTCTAACATCACATCAAGAGGTGCATTCCACTTGTCTCATGATCAGTGATACTAAATTTATCTTCTGGCTAATGTGATTCCTTCCACTTAAATTTTTCTTGTTGTAATAAGAGAATTTATGGAGGGATATTTTGAGGCTCAATGTATGTCAATCCTCATAAAACTATTATTCATAAAGAAATTTGACGTTCCTAGGCAGTTTTGTCTGAATCAGTTACTGCTGTGATGTTAATGGTGGAGATATTTAATCACGACTGGAAGAGGGAACCTGTTCAGCTGCTGCGTGCCTCAGCATTAGAAAATGTTGAGTGTTGAGCTGAAATTTGTCTCCAGAGACTTCTGCACATTGTTTTAAGTACTCTGTGCCACATGAAATAAGCATGCTCTTTTCTTTCTTTTTTAACAGCCCTTCAGAATATGTCCCTTTTTGCTTTTCTCTAGCCTGCTCACTTCCATTTTACATTTTTTCTTAGATGGCTTCCTTGAATTTATAACTATCCCTTTGGGTTCCTGATAACATTTATTAATATCATACTTAAGATATCATTTCCATCTCCAGATACTAATTCCAGATATGGTTTTATCTATCAGTACAATAATAGGTCACTATTTCTCTATAATCTACTGGTATCACTGGATTTTGGAGGCTCATACATCTGACCTCAAGTCCCAGCTCTGTCACTTACTAGCTCTGTGACCATGAACAAATTCCTAATATCTCTCAGTCTCAGTTCCATAATGTCTAAAAAGTTGGTAATAATAGCATTTGCTTTTTAGGTGGAGTGAAGTTTAAATGTGCATGTAATGTAAAACTCTTAACTTAGGTGAAAGATACTCTCTTACCTTATGTGAAAGATACTGTCCAGAGAGAGATACACAAAGGATTTAAGAAATTCAAAAGCTCATAAAAAGTTGTAGCTTGATAGAGTATCTTCCACATAAGTTAAAGAGTTTTACATTACATATGTATATATATACACACACACAGTATAAGTACGTGATAAAGGATTTGTATTGTTTTATAAACTAAAACAGGTTTTTTTTTCCATCTTTTTGAGACAGGGTTTCTGCTGTGCAGTTTAGGCTTACCTTGAACTCACAGCGATCCCACTGCCTCAGCCTCTTGAGCACTGGGATTACAGGCGTGTGCCACCACGCCCAGCCTTAATAGTCATCTTTTATAGCATAGCACATGTGCAATACTTTAGCATTAAATGACACTATTAATGAAATTGGAGTGGTTGGATGTTATTTTTTATGGTATTTTAAAACCATATTGCTAGTATAAATAGTACATTTGCTATGTTCATGAAATCTAAAGTTTTTTCTAAAATTTATATGGAATTTGAGGCCAGTAAAAATAATGTGTATTGAAGCCAGTGTACCTGTAGGGAGAAAGTAGGGTTCTAGGGTTTTCTAGGACATTTTTATATATATACGTATACATATTCATGTACATATTTTGCCTGATGTTTACTTATAATTGTAGGAAAAAATCAAGTGAAAAGGAAAATCATTGAAACATCAAAGCCTAAAATCTTCTCCTGTATGTGGTTTGTTGTGCAATTATGCATTGAAGTTTACACATAATAATACTACTAGAATATTATTTAAAAAGTAGATTGGATAAAGATAGACAACAAAACTATTAAGAATTATCTATCAAAATTTTAAATGGTATTTCATTTTTATCTAGGAATGTATCTTTTAAAAAATTGACCTGTTATGTAAGGGTGGTTTTAAACTGAAGGTCCTCCTGGCTTAGCCTCCCAAGTGCTAGGATTGCAGGTGTGCACTACCATGCCAGGCTTGAGTTCTTTGAGTTAGTTAAAAACTTTTTTGCTGTTTATTTCTGCAGAGAAAAATGTCATTATGAATGCTTATGGGGAGTATATTGTTACTGAAATGGACAAATGACAATTTTTATCATATCACAGTTTACTCCCTAATTTATAAACCTCTTGGATTTTTGTGTTTGGCTTATGAAAATGTGAGTAGAATAAAATATTTCTTAGGGAAATGCAGTCTTTTTTTTTTTCCCCAGAGAGGCTTTCTACCTTTTCATTAACCTTGAGGCAATGAGGGTACTATAGAAGTTGAACTTATAGGGGAAGGTGCTACAAGCTTTTATGGTAAATGTGATAACAGGACCAGACACTCATAATTCCTAGTTAGAAGCTATCACGGGATTGTACTCGAGACCCTCAGGGCTCTGCAGTGTTTGTAAAGATGTTCTTTAGTTGGTGGCCAACGAGCTAACCTTTAGGAAAACTCAAAAGTACCTAGTTTTGTTTACTTTGGGTTTAAATGATTATATAAAGTAATCTTTGCTTACTTAGCTGGTGGCTTGGTATAGAAAAATGCATAGATTAAAGGTATATATTGTTACTTTTTTACATTAGTATCAAAAACAAAATGGTAGAATTTTTTTATTTCTTAATTTTACTTTAGTGTCCCTTTTATGTGGCTATAATAGCACTCCTTAAAATTTGAGATGATTAAAATGTGGCACATAATAAATTTTAACTGTCTCAACTGTTTTCATGTTAAATGTGTTACAGGAATGAATCTGAAGTCTGCTGCAGTAAAACACTGAAGGCTTTAAAATGTTTTCTTGCATAAAACTCAAACTTTAAGTAGCTGCTTATGAGGATAGGGAAGGCAGGAAGCTAATGTCTGTCTCAAGATACAGGACAGCTGTTTGCTCATCAACCTCCACTGTGTGAGTAGAGACTTAAGCCTGTAACCCTATGTCTTTGGACGTAGAACTTGATTATTTTAAAGTCTAAAGTGCTTGCAGATACACTTAAGTCAGTATTATAAGACATTATTTAGGATCTGTGGGAGTTTTTTGTTGTTTCTTTTCTGGTGGGTAGGATGCTGAGGGTTTAGTGGGTGGTAGATTTTTATTTATAAAATACTTTGGTGTAGTGATATTTACAGCTGATGCCATTAACCACCATTTATCTTTTTTCAAAGTTATTCTAAGCACTGGAATCTGCATTACTAATTTTTTATTGTGAAACGGAAGATTATAATTCTTCAGATTGCAGTTTATTTGTAGTTAACTTTAGCCCTTTAAAGTGAATATTTTGATGAACTAGCCATAAAAAAATGTATTTTAGGAACGTGGCATTTGAGATTAATATAGAAAATTGCTCCTGAAAGTAAGTTATTAATTTAATCAGCAAGAGTATTTACTTAAAATAAAGGAACTTTTGCTCCTAAATGTAGTGGACATGTTTTAAACTTGCATTTTATTTTTAATAGTCCTTTGATAATATAAATCCCTGTTGAAGAAAAGTAGTCCCCTCCTGCCTTTTTTCCCCCTCTTATTAAAAGTTATCACCTCAAGAATCCATTTGGGAAGGTGTCTTTTTGTTTTTTCTACTTTATTCATTTTTTTTTTCCCTTCAAAGATTTTAAAAATGAGAGTTTAAACTGGATGTCCTCTCCCTTTAAAGTAATATGCATGGTTTAAACTGATGGGGTCATTGAAATGTAAAATACTACATTGAACAGGATGAGAATGTAGATAAAATTTATAAAATTTTGTTAACTGCTTAATGAGGCATGGGGTAAGAAGGATGTTGCTTGCATGGTGCATTTGTACTTACCACGAGCTTACTCTTGTTAATATCACAAATGTGTTGTCTAAAGCAATAATCAAAATGGGTTATCTTTAGAATTAGTGAGTAAGAAGACAGAAAGCAAGTGAAGAATAGACACTGAGTGTGGATATTTGTGTGAAAGTAGTTGAAGGATACATGACAGAAATGAGGAAAATGTATGTTAGCTTCCTTCAAAAGTAGTGGAAAACTCAAAGGTTCTGTGGATACACAGTGCTGTCTGAATTTCCAGAGATCATCTGGTTCCTACTCTTATAATCTCTTTGCTTAATGATCCCAAACCTTACTTTAATGAAGTTTTAAGGTCCGTAATAGGAGATCTAAGTCTCAAGTCAGAGTCATTTGGCACTTCACTTTTAAATCCAGGTTTAATTTGGGGCTGCTGTTTCGTTCACAGTATTTCAACAGTATTCCCTTCTCTCTTTAAATTAGTGTCAGAAATAAAATTAAAGGTGAAGGAGGTCTTTGGAACGTACTAATGAAACTTTGATTTTTAAAATGAGATTAGACAGAACACAATAGGAAGAAGAGAAGCTTTCATAATTCTAGAGCAGTTGGGAGAAAGTTGTATGATAGTAAATTGGTCCTAAATTTCATTTTCTCCTTATTTCTCTGAGATGATTCTCTGTGTTCTGTACTACTCTTCTACCAGGGCATAGAGGAAAGTGCTAAGAAGCAGTTAATTAATTTTACTGAGATAGAAAGTGTAAGTACATGTAAGAGTATATGAGCACTTAAGTAAAACTCTTCTACTCCTTCCTCTCTGTCCTTCCTTACTCATTACCTTATCATAGTAGCTAGGCTTCTTATTGATGGACACTCTTCTGTGACATAATTTTACCTAGATTTAAAAGTGCATTTTAACTTCTTAGTTACTGTTGTATTACGCAGTATGATTAAGATAGAGTTCCTGAGCAATGTTAAGGCCACAGGATGAGTTGGAGTAATAGGCTGTAGAGTCAGGCTGCCTGGTTCCAGATCCTAGGTGTCCTTTTAATAGCCAGATGATATTGAGCAAATTACTTAAATCGTTCTGTGCCTTGGTTTTCTAATTTGTAAAGTAGAGGAATAATTTGCAGATAGGGTCGTTGTAAGACTGAGTTGTCAAAATATACAGATTATCATGATTTTTATTCTTAAACATCTCTTTCTTTTTTGAGGAGGAATACTAAGTAGCATATTATAAATCCTCAATGTGATAGATTTTTTTGATACTCAGGATCCAACTCAGGACTTTGTATCTGCCAAGTGACCATTCTACCACTGACTTACATCCCTGGCCGCAAAGTAACAGATTTTAAGGCTTTAGGATTGAGAATTTAGAGTTCAAAAATTCTCATTATCAGTTCAAGTATCATGAGAAACATCCCCAGCATAGCAGAATAGACATCTTTATTTCCCCAGTATCCTGTTCACATTCTCAGTAGCTGTATGTAGCTTAATGGCTACTGTACTGGGCAGTGCTGTTCTAGGTTGTTAGATATACTAGACAGTGCATGTATAGTAAGCATGAAATTTATTGGTGATACAGCTGTGTTTGACTAGAACATACAAGATTGGGCCTTATATCAGTTGTAACTCCATAAAGGAAGAGAAAGCAGCAGAAATATTTCTTTAGGACTCTTGTTAGGTATATTTTCTCTAGGTTTTAGTAAAGTTATTTTTAGGCTAGTTACAAAATTCATTATGATATATTTTTAAATGGAGGTATTGACAGTTTAGTCAAGCATATTGCGAGTATTGAGATCTATCAGTTACTGCTTTGGGGATCAAAGTGAACCATTTGTTTTATGGAAATAAAAAACTACTATTTATATTTAGGTGCTAGTAGAGTGCTTGTTAATCTAGAAATACCCTTGAAGACTGACAGTATTAAGGGTAGTGCAGTAGAATCTTTCAGGAAGGCCTAGGTTTCATTTCATGCTTTTATTGTAAGGGAATCTGTCATCTGTTTTTAGATCATGGTAAAATAGTCAATTTTAGCACTGATAATCACACTGTGTGTTTAGAAGTATGATGAGTGTTAGGGGAGAAGCCAGGGGTAGAAGTGTTGTCTTAGGTTTTCAAAGAAAGCACTGTTGACTAGATTTTAATCAGGGACCAGAACACATGGGAACAGAAATTATTTTAACTGAAGAAAGAAAGAAGGAAGGTTGTTAAAAAGATTTATGGGAAATCATCTGGAACTAAATTACCAATTTATAGCCTTGGTACTTTTTTTTTTTTTTTTGGTTTTTCTCCGGTACCAGGAACCAAACTCACGACCTTGCGCTTGCCAGGCAGGCACTTTGCCGCTGAGCTAAATCCCCAGCCCCCTAGCTTTGGTACTTTTTAAGTGTCTGGTATTCTATGTTCTCAACCCCAGCCCCTGACTTCAGACAGACACACTGGGTAGCATTCCCTCAAGACTAGTTAGCTTGTCTAGAGAAGGTTGTTCCTGATGCCCAAAGGGTACTAAGAGTTAAGAGCTTTAGGTTGTACAGATTGTGTTAGAAAAGAATGTTAACCATGGAGGCAGTGAGTGGCATATATAATTTCATTTCCTTTATGTGATTAAGAAGGGGTGTGTATCTGGTTGGGAACTGTGGTACATACCTATAATCCCAGTGACTTGGGAGGCTGAGGCAAGAGGATCACAAGTTTGAGGCCAGCCTGGGCAACTTAATGAGGCCCTGTCTCAGAATTTAAAACAAAGGGACTGGGGATATAGATTAGTGGTAGAGTGTTTGGGAGGCCCTAGGTTCAAGCCCCAATATCCCCTCACCCCTCCACCGAAAGAAACAATGTGTGTTGGCAAGGATGCTACCTCTCTTATATAGTGTCGGTGAGACCTAAATGAGATAATCCATAAAAAGTGCTAGTTTAGGGCCCCATAATAATGGTGAATTTATACTTTCTGTGAGTGTTTACTAGTACATATCTAATTGTGTAGTTACCTGGTTGGATTTTTTAACTTAGGGAAAAAGCTTTAGACAACTTTATGGAGTGAGTTTTGGTGACTTGTAGATATTCAGAGCATCTCAGCTGTGAGGTGGAGCAGCTGCCTCATTGGTCCAGTGGCCGTTATGTTCTCAGGTGTTCTGGCAGTATCTACCCTGTCTCACATTGGCTTACTGTTAATTCATAGGGTTTGATTTCAGTCAGGGACTTACAGTGTTCAAATTTTTAACCACTTCAATTCCAGTGAAATTTTTGTCAGAAAGCTGATATATAAAAATACCAGAAAGACTGCTTACTTTGGCCGCACATATACTAAAAAATACCAGAAAGGAACTATAGCATTTGAAAAAGAGATTTTGGCCCAACCTACCTGATGATTTTCTTTCTCCTTACTCCTTCCCCTCTACCTCAGCAATCCTTGATAGAATAAAAGCACTTAGGAGAAATAAACTTTATGAAGGGTCACCACTGATGAATGTGAATAAGTCTGTATATATCCTCAGATGCCTTAATATTGTCTTTTAAAACTGTTTCTTTTTAGGCTGTTAGCTGAAGTTGTTGGAAACTATTGTTTTGTTTGGAAAAGTAGAGCCAAAAAACAATCCTGGAAACTTTGGATTTTACTTCACAGATGTTGTTGACCACTCATATTATATTTTACTTAAAGACTGTAAATTTAATGCTCTTATGTTATCTGGATCAAGATATAATTGTACTTCTCCTGAGAGATTAGTTTTGCTTTTCTATAAAATATTGTGCCTCTTAACAAGTAGTATACTCCTTTGAATTAGTGGCTAGGAGGAAGAAAGTCAACTGCATAGCTTGTACTGATAACTAGCAAATAGGCCCTTATGGCCATATTGCACTTCCATAATTGACGATATTTCTGACTACTTAATTTTTCCTACCATTTTCCCTTGGATTACCGTTTCACCTCCTTTAATGCTCTTGTCCAGTGTGCATTTTTAAAGTCACCTTAAATGGCTTTTAGAGCATACACATTATATTTAAAAAGAACAATGTCATGAAGAGCACTTGTTAAACCCTCCTTCCCATTGCTGGCTGATTATAGGCTGAGGGTGTAGCTCAGGCGGCGTAAGCACTTCTCTGGCAAGCCTGAGGTCATGAATTTGATTCCCGGTACAAAAAAAAA